TTGTATGTTCGGTCATCCCAAAAGGAAGTTAGTTCTTTTCCAAATTACAAGCGCTTCAGTATTATTTTTCCGCCAAAATTTTAGGTGCAATTCAACGTTTTGCGAAAGTGAGAATTTTTCTGATTCCTCTCTCCATCACATTTGAGAATCTGAAAATTTTAGGTTTCCTTTTTCTAAGAAAAAAAGTGTAACCTGGGTAGTAAAATATGAAAATTGTAACTTCAGATAATCGTAGGGAATTTCTTAGAAAAACTTCGAAAGTTGTGCACAAATGGAAGTTTCAGCTAGAAATTTTTAGCCGTGCTCAAGCAAAAGAAAATTCTAGGTAATATTTGCTTCTCCGAACAGATATTTTACAGAAAACAGTCGTTGGGTGGCCCTGATTGCAGACGATAAAACGCATTCTTTAGAAATAAGGCTGTAGCAGAAAACAAAGATCCATTCAAAGGAACTGTTCAAGTATGGCAACAGACCATTCGAAGATATTGGTGTGTCACCTGCGCTGTAACTGATGAGCCGACGCACTCGAACGATGATAACAACTCATCAAAGTCTCTTGTTACCTCAGGCAGTGGATCATGAAAACGCTCCAAAAACAACAGCAAAATACAAAGCCTAATTAAAGTAGAAATTTGCGCCCACGCACCTGAAGTTGAGGACAAGGCGCGTTTCGTCCAAATGGTGAAAGGGAGTGGCGCAAGCTGAAGTATTACAAAAATCGTACCTACTGGAATATCAATATGAACGGGCTTACAGGAGAAATGGAGGACAGATCACCTCAGTTCCAAATGATTCTCCCATGACCCAAGCACAAGTGCTCCTCTCTTAAATGGCCAGCCTTGTGACTCTTTTGTGAGTTCATCGGCACCTAAATCCGAGAAGCAGGTGCCAAGCTCAGTCAGATTAGCAAAGAGACGGACAGCACGCACTCCCATTAAAACCAGATCTGGGCGCCAAGTTGAAAGGCCACAAAAACTTGGAACCGAGCATATTGCATTGTCAACAAGCTAAATCCTGGAACTCTTTGCCCTTCACAGTTAAGAAAGACTGAATCTTTAAACGTTTTCAAAGAAAGCCTTAAATCATTTCTGCGTCAGAAGGATATTTCTACATTCTCTTAATTTATTTTTCTTACTAGTTTAATATTTTTATTATATTTTTAGTTTGATATTTTACATAATTTTAATTTTAATAATTTTATATTAATTTTATATCATTTTAATTATTTTACATAATTGCCTCTTGTTTCGGCATTTATGATTTTTTTAGCTGTTTTATTTTATTTAATGTGAGTCTTAGGTAACCCTTCAATGAGGGAACTAGTTTGCTGTTTTGGATTTCCCTGTCAATATACTTACAGTCCTTTGTATTGGTAAACTATTAAAGTAAAGACTCATTGAATCCCGTTAGGGGGAGATTCAACATTTGAACTTCTAGAGACGCCCTTTAGGTATAGGAGCTCCTGAATGTTTTGCATGCACGCCGCGAAAACGGGGGACCACGTGAGGTGCGTTTTGGACTTGCTCAGCGGGACTCATTCCTGAACATGACCAAGAATTTTCAGAAAATGCTTGATTCAGTTGTCTAGATTGTGCATAGTAATATAAGAGAGCGCTTTATTTCAACCTTTACTACAACGAAACAATAACGGGCAATCATTATTTTATTCTCCTTTGTAGAAGGAGAATAAAAAGTGGTTTCCAATGTCTTCGCGTTTTTGCGTGTGATTGCTTCACAATGGTGTCATCCGTCGACGAACGCTATCTTACATAGGACTTCTCTTCTTGAGCGCACACTGGACATGTCCCTTAGAAACTGGAATTCTTGTAATGTTTACAGGGATTTATAAAGTAAAAGGTGGTCGTCTTTTCAGAGCTGCCACTTTCTATGACCTCAATGTCGTTTTCAGTGTCACTACCAAGTCTATCAAGAAACGTATTCAGCTCACCAGGTTTCGTCACGTCATCTTTGCGAGAGAGTATTAAATAGACTAAATCCTCAATAAGCTGACAGCGACGTTTCTTGCGGGACTTCTGCAAGTAATTGTCCCCGGGAGTCCACAACAGACTATCTCTGGAAGCGGCCACCCTATGCAAAATATCAGAAGCACACTTTATAGACATCTGTTGAGGAATGTTACTCAAGACGTCTTCAGTTCTTGGATCTTGATTTTTGTTTTAACCATCAGAAGTTTATGTAACAAAGTAGTAACTCCAATCTGGCAAGACATTCTCGAGGAGTAGGAAGACAAGTAGAACGATATATTACCGCAAAAGGGATCTTACTGTACCTATTCTTTCCTGGTAGCCGCAGGCACAGACCCTTCAAATCGGGCTGTAAAGTTTCAATTTCCGCCATCCTCTTGACGTCTACTGACTCACGAAAGCATGCACCAACACCACCGCCTCTTATGCAGTAGCGATTGAGAAACCCAGATGTATACACAGGGATGAAAAAGTATTCCAGTAAATTAAATTGTAGTGTATTTGTATACAGTTAT